AACAAGACATGCCATTCCTGTAACTGGATCCTACGCTACAACACACCTTCTAATCCCCCATGATTAACTTCTACACAGACGTCAACTCAAAACATTCTTCAGAATTTCACAAACGTTTTGTTATCCATTTTTATTTGGTTTAAAGCACACGTAGAACATATACTAGTATAAAAGTAACAGCTATAAGTAGGGATGTAAGAAAATATCAATATGGCAATATATCGTGATATTTTTTCCAGCAATATTATATCGATATTCAAAAACCGTGTATCGGAAATATCAATATGGCAATATATCGTGATATTTTTTCCTGCGTTTATTACATCAATATTCAAAAGCCATGTATCTAATCTTTGAAAGAATTTACATGCAAACATTTGTGTATTTTCTTTTCGTTTTGTGCAATTCAATTGCCACCCACTAGTTGGCAGCAGTGTGCAACGGGTTTTGTTTCCACCATTGAAATATAAATCCCTCCATCATGGGTCAGATACCTCATGTTAAACATGTTACGTATCAGTTTGGACTGTTCATTGAGCATTCTTACAATAAATTGAGTAAAAAAAAATTGCTTGTAACGTCTGACTGGATGTATTGCAATATATCGTGATATATCGTATCGTCTCCCTGTATCGTGATATGTATCGTATCGCCAGAATTTCAACAATACACATCCCTGGCTATAAGATGAAGTTCCACAGGGACCTGTCTTTGGTCCTACACATTTTAATTCCTACATGTTGCAACCAGAAAAAATCTGAAGGGATTCAATTCATCTTACAGTGCCAAATCACAAGTCGTCTTAAAGCGCTTAACAAAGTAAATCTCCCAATACAGTTCAGTTCATAACGTCAGTCAGTAAACGTTTGCTATATGTTTATGTTTATTTATTTAGCAGACACTTTTATCCAAAGCGACTTACAATCTATAACCTATAGGGCATGTAGTGATCTGACGGGGAATCCGGAGGAAACCCACGCATGCATGGGGAGAACACGCAACTCCACGCAGAAAGGCCGCAGCCGAGTTTCGAACCTGCAACCTTCGTGCTGCGAGGCAACAGTGCTAACAGCTGTACCACCATGCAGCCCAAAGATAGATATAAGGCGGAGTGTTGGAGAAGGCCATGTAAATGTAAAGGTTATTTGTCATCTGTGCCCCAGACAAGCTGGTTCCCAAAGTCAGAGACTCTCTTGGTCAGCTTGCTTCCCACACCAAACCTTCTGTCAGGAATCTGGGTGTGACCTTTGACCCAGCTCTCACCCTGGATTCTCATGTCAGTTCTCTTGTTGGCTCTTCCTTCTTCCACCTCAGGAACGTTGCTAAGCTGAGTCCCATTCTGTCCCGCTCTGAACTTGAGACAGTTCTCCACACCTTCATCTCCTCACGCTTAGACTACTGTAACTCTCTTTTCACGTGTCTGAGCAGAACATCCCTGAACCGTCTACAGGTGGTTCAGAACGCCTGTGCTCGGCTTCTGACCAAGTCCTCCAAACACACCCACATCACCCCGCTTCTCCTCCAGCTTCACTGGCTGCCAGTCAACTTCAGGGTTCATTTCAAGATCCTGGTTCTGGTCTATAGGGCCTTACATGGACAAGCACCATCTTACATTGGTGATCTTCTCAGTCCCTACACCCCCAGCAGGTCCCTGAGAGTGAAGGTCTAATGTATGATGGCAGGAGTGGGCGGAGCTATGTAATTCTTTGAGCAAAACCAATTGAATCCAAGATATTAGTCGATCAGCTTTACATCTTTGCTGATGACATAGCTGTTTTAGAGAAATGTATGTTTTTTTTTAGAAACTTTTTAAATAATGATGTCAAATACAAGATATTTATCCATGATTTGTATTAATTCAGTATGTTGACACATTTCTGGCTCTATAATGCTCACTCATTGTATTTATTGTACGGGAAAAACAATTTATCAAATTACACAAATAATTTGATAACTAAATAAACCCTTGATGTAATTTCAAAAGAACTGAGGGTTGTTAAACTATCCGACTCTACATAGCACATTGATCTTATTTATTTGGACAGTTATCTACAGCAACGTCATCCTCTTTGTACAAACCACTGATGATGAAAAATGAATTCCCTGTGGTCAGAATAAGTCTTTACAATAAAACAAGCATTCTCAATCAGAGAAGCAGAGGCAGAGGAAAAAGGCCAAAAAAGACAGAATGTTCTAAAATGCTTTTTAGTTCATAAAAATGTGATTGACCTTTAGAAGAAGATAAAGACACGGGCATAACAGCACGCACCGATCACACAGACAGTGAGAGCAGCTCTTAATAGATGTAGGAACAGCTCATTCATAAACATGTCGACAGAATATTTAGTTTCTAAAATATCTGACAGGTCTACAGTTTTATGGCAGCCATGCTGGTGATGGGCTCAAGGAGACAAACAACCAAGGACTCTCTGTGAGCTCCATGTTCAAAATGTAGAAACTAGTTTCACCTTTAAAGCTGCTAGTTTAGGACGTTAGTTTA